AATGGAACTCAATGGATTGTTGCCGTTTTTCACCCCTTAACTAGGACGTTTCTGAAAAAGGACTGAACCCAAGAATCAATACAGATGACATCAAGCTGTCATCTTAGCAGCAGATGCCCTGGTCAACAATTGGCCCTCTGCAAATTTTTAGACCCTTGGGTCATTGTAAATGATCTGGTTGTCTGGTTTAGCCAATGGCAGCAACGTAAGTTTCTTATCTGAGGTTGTCCATTTTGGGGTATGGAACTTATGGAAACATAAGTTTCTTTTCTTTTCTTTTCTTTTTTTTGAGTTGGAATCTCACTCTGCCACCCAGACTGGAGTGCAGTGGCTGCTCCTGGCCACCGCAGCCTCGACCTGCTGGGCTCTGGCGATCCTTCCGCCTCAGCCTTCCAAGTAGCTGGAACTACAGGTGCGCGCTACCACGCCCGGCTCATTTTTGATTTAATGTAGAGATGAGGTCTCACCAAGTTGCCCAGGCGGGTCTCGAACCCGCGGGCTTAGGCAATCCTGAGCCTCCCAAAGGCGCGGGATTACAGGCTGAGCCACCGAGCCCGGAGAAACATAAGTTTCTTATCCAAGGTTGTCCATTTTACCTCACAGACACCAAAATATAAATCAATATCACAGATACCTTCACATACAGTAAAGCTACAAGGCCTCATTAAGACGCTCCTTATCATCTTCAGAGTTCCAGATGTTGACTGTGACCAAGGCATTGATTTTAATTTTCAGAATATACAACGCTGGGTTCTAGAGCAAGATACTTGATGAAACCTTCACCTTCTTTACAGTTCTCAGGCTACAGATCTCAGAGAGTACCATAATGGCTTATTTAAACCTGTTCAAATTTAATTAAAGAAACATGGTATTTTATCAAACATCAGGGGTAAATTGTAATAAAGAGGCTGTCCTTTTGTGTGGCTATTTGACTGTGGACAGCATTTAAACCTCACTCTTCTCCCTTTTCTTCAGCCCTACATCTGGACAAGCTAATAAAAACCTTGAGTGCCTCTCCTTCGATGCTGGAGGGAGTTTCAAACCATTCAAGCCCCCAGTTGCTCTTTGGAACCTTCACTACACCCCACCCCCCACCCCCTAACCACCATAAAAACTCCAATCCAGTCTCCTTTCCTTGTTCTGTCAGACATTTTCAGACCAGCTTTGGAAGCCTGGCCTGCTCTCTCAAAAAAGCCTCTTTATGTAATAAATCTTTGAATTCCCTGTTGATGTGTATGCAACATCATCAGTCTCTGTATCTGAACCAAATTTTGCATGTGGGTCCATTCTGTGTCTTTAGAGTGGCCCCAAGTGGCCTGTTTGTAAAAAGAATTGTTAGCTAGATATGTGAAAGGAGAGTGGAGTTGCTGGGGAATGACTCCTCCATGGTGGCCTGACATCCTTGCATGTCTCCACAGAGATTTGAACTACAGTTAATCTGAGTTTGGGTTAAATGCCTTGTGATCCTCCCAGAACATGAGAAAATGGGCGACTGTAAGGAGCTGCTATTAAGACCATCTCCTAGTCACGTCCCTATCTCCCTTGGGAGGCTGTCATAAATGAGTTTCTTATCAGCTGCCAGTTTCTGATGAGGTATGGGACTTCCTGTCCTTTGCCCTTCAGAAAAGAGCTGAAGAACACAAAACCACTCAGCTGCAGTGTAGATTTAGTGCCTCAGCCATGGAGTACCCCACAACTTGCACTACAAGCATCCAACCCTTTTTGTAGTTGTTGTCTTTTAGGGTATGTGGGACAAGGGCCTGGGGAGCTGGCCCCTTTGGTGTATTTTTCTTTGCATTGTGGATGTAAGTATTAAACTGTCTAAATCTAAAAGTATCTTGTATCTTTACAAGCCATATCAGTCAGGTCTTGTTCTGTCTGTATGAGCTTGTTACCATATAATCCTAATTGCGATATATGTTTTACCCATAAACTAAAATAATATTAGTATACCTGTATGTGCTCAAATATTCTTTTTTTTTTTTTTTTTTTGAGTTGGAGTCTCACTCTGTCGCCCAGACTGGAGTGCAGTGGTCGCTCCCGGCCACCGCAGCCTCGACCTGCTGGGCTCCGGCGATCCTTCTGCCTCAGTCTTCCAAGTAGCTGGAACTACAGGCACGTGCTACCACGCCCAGCTCATTTTTGATTTATTGTAGAGATGAGGTCTCGCCAAGTTGCCCAGGCGGGTCTCGAACCCACAGGCTCAGGCAATCAAATGTTCTTACTCTAAATAAATACTGATGGCTTACCATGTCCTTCCATCATCTGTATTTGGGAAGCCTTCAGCGAATTATAAAATGCAGCTGTGGTGCCAGATTTAGCACCTAAGGGAATGTCATATAGTACTTTATGAAGCTAAGATGTTAGGGATATATTGGTACTGGAAAATTCTGAAAAATAAGAGCATGATTTATGGATAAAATATTCTTCCCCATAAAGAGAAACCTGAGCATAGACCACAGTCTTATAGTGTCTCATTTTTCATATTGTCCAGTAAACAAGTACCTGGTTAAATAACAGCAATGTGTTTTTGACAAGTAGGAGGTGTGACAACCATTCATAAAATAAACATGCTATGAACACCTGTGGGGTGCCATGTTCCAGGATCTGTGCCACACTCTGGGGACACAGAGACAATCCAGTCTGAGTCCCAGAGCCAGGGGACCTCAGAATAGAAGGCAGAGACATCCAGGCAAATAAGTATACTTTTCATAAGAACTATAACATAACAAAGCATTAGGATACCTGGGAACACAAGAGTACACCTTACCCCAGAAGATTAAGAGCTTCTCAGAAGCAATGGTATACCAATGTAGGGCTATGATTATCCCCAGTTTACAGTGAGAAAACTAAAGATTTGAGAGGTAAAGTAACCTGGCAGAGGCCATACAGCCTCTGGTCAAGCCAGTTTTGAGTCATTCCCTTTTGGACTCCAAATCACCATTTGCTTTAATTTACCTCTACCTACACTTCCCCCTGGCTCTGCTTGCCTCCAAACTTAAAAAAAAAAAAAAACCTGCTACAGAGTAGACTCAAATTAGGAAACAACTTCCAGGGAAAGATGAAAGTTTTTCTAGTATATCATGGTGCCTCCTCACAGGAGAACCTTGGAATTGAAAGCTTTGCACAGTTGTGAGTAGTAAAGGGCTCTAAAATAAAACTTTCACCTACCTTTTCTAGGTAACAGTTGGTTCTGGGGTACTGCCTGCTCTTGGGATTAGAACACACTTAGGAGTAGAAGAGAAGCTACAGCTTTCTTCAGTCTTTCACACATAGGAAGGAATTCATCTTCCATGGAAGGGACCTCCAGTGCTATTCTGCCTGCTCCTTCTTGACCTACAAAAATGTCAGGACAGACCCCATATCTGTTGATGTAAGCAAAGTTTCACTAACTCTGACCAAGGTTTTAGCCTTTATAGAATTCTAAGCACAGAATTTAAGAGCATCTTCCGTCTGTGAAATGCAGAATGGTTCACTGCAGTCAGGAATGTTAACTGCTTACTTTCCTGTTTCACCTACCTTTAAATATATTGCTTTTTTTTTTTTTTGAGTCAGTCTTACTCTGTTGCCCAGGATAGAGTGCAGTGGCAAACTCACGGCCACCCCAATCATCGACCTGCTGGGCTCTGGAGGTTCTTCCGCCTCAGCCTTCCAAGTAGCCAGAACTACAGGCGAGCGCTACCATGACCTTTTTTTTTTTGATATATTGTAGAAACGAGATCTTGCCAAGTCACCCAGACTGCTCTCGAATCCCTGAGCTTAGGTAATCCTCTGGCCTCAGCTTCCCAAAGTGCTGGGATTACAGGCTTGAGCCACTGAGTCCGGCCGCTTTCTTTATTATGTTTTTTATGTTGAAGATGTGGTAGGCCAGGCTCGGTGGCTCAGCCTGTAACCCCAGCACTTTGGGAGGCTGAGGCGAGTGGATTGCCTGAGCTCGCAAGTTCGAGACCAGCCTGGGCAACTTGGCAAGACCTCTTCTCTACAGTAATTCAAAAATTAGCTAGGTGTGTTAGCACACGCCTATAGTTCTGGCTACTTGGAAGGCTGAGGAGGAAGGATTGCCAGAGCCCAGCAGGTCGATGCTGGGGTGGTGGTGAGCATGCCATTGCACTCCAGCTTGGGCGACGGAGTGAGACTCCAATGCAAAAAAAAAAAAC